ATGAGATCCTTTTATATATATATTATTATTATTTTTCATAAATGAATTTTTTTACCCGATGGATCCACATGGGTGGCCAAGCCGGCTCGTCGAGTACTGGATCTGTTCCTGGCAGTACTTGTCAACATTTCATGGATAATGGTTAAACATTTTAATTTCTTTTTCTTTTTTTATTACTCTATAGTATTTTACATTTCAATGTAGCAAACACTCCATTATGGGTTCCCCTATTTTCCGTGTAAAACAGGATTATCATATATTTGTTCCTAGTGTTCCTAGAGCCAAGATTTTGACTAGGGATAACAAAAAAAACTTGATAAACCCAATATCCACTGTGCCCCACCCCGAATAGGACGGGGATTACCCGCTTAATCGGGATGGGGACGAGACGGGAAATTTTGCCCTAGGGCAAAGACGGGTAGCGGGTTTCTTGCCCCGTTTAATTTATTTTTTTAATATTCAATATTTTAAATGAAAAATTTCATGAAATTTCATTAGTTCTAATAGAAAATGGCAATTAAAATTATCTAAAAAATATGACAAACAATAAAAGCTTTAGTTTACCAAATGTATTTGAATAATTTAACTTTTAAAAATAAGTAAAAATTAAAAAATATATTATTGTCTCAATCTAATGAATGAGGATAATAAAATGAATTATCAAAAACTTGAAAATAAAAAACAAAAAAAATTAAACGAGGTAGTAAACGGGACAAGGTCCTGCCCCGCCTTGCCTTGCCTTGCCTTAAACAAGTAAGGGAACGAGTCGGGGAATTGCTTGGGAGGCCCCGCCCCGTTGCTATATCTAATTTTGATTTTTGACTCATCGGTAATCCAAAATAACCTTTCTTGCGATCCATTTTATGCAACCAGGACTGTAGGATTCTGTGCAATAAACAATGACTTCGTATGTTCTCGCAGCTTGTTTGATAGAAGTCCTCAACGGAGCATTTTTCTGTGGGACTCCATAATTAGAGCTTATGCACTGGCTCACAAATTTTCTGATGTATTTATGCTTTTATAAGCGCATGATGATTTGAGAAACATAGTCTGGCAACTTCACATTTGCTTGCGTTTTGCATGCATGTTCTTAATGGAGGAATATAGAGGGTTTGAGGCAGAAACAGATCCAAGACTAGATTACAAGTCGGGCAAATACGTAAAAAATAAAATAAAAATAAAATTACACAACATAAAAAAAAATTCTACCCAAAAAAAATCAGTGGGCTGGGGATTGGGCCTGGCTGTCCAGTCCCCCCTACATCTGTCCTTAGTTTGAGGGCTGTTCATAGGAAAGTGATTGTTCTGGTTTAAGAATGGAATTTATTTGCGATAGTGCACTTGTGAACACTTATTCTCAGATAGACTGTTTATGATGCGAGTTTCTATATTTTTTGGGATAGATGAGCCAAATTTAGTAGTTTGTACTCTGGAATACTATGATATCGTCATTTATGTTGAGGAAGGTCAAGAAAGTTGTTCATGATATGGGAGTAGACATCGCACTATATGTTCACCTTGTTTAAAAGCTTAACTTTTGGAGGGGGTGAGTTCAACGTGATATCATAGTAGGTAGAGTTCCCTACTACCAACATTCTCTTCAATATTTTGTTGGATTTAATTTGCTATCCTGTCAACTGCTAATTTGCCCATCTTGTGTTTTAGGACACGTTTAATTAGGACTTCTGCCTGATGTCGTAAGCCCTTTTACCAGTGAACTCAACCAAGTTCTTGATTTGTATATTTGGGCCTAAAATTTTGTCCTGAAGTTAGAAGAATTTTTTTTTTTTTTTTTTTTCAGAAAGCAGCCCTTTAAGTTGGTTTGGGCATGTGTTTAGACCTGCTCCAGGGCTCTTTGTCGGTCCAAATTTGCTATTCAGACTTCAGTTTGTCTTGGCCCAAACTCTGCCTAGCTTGTGCTCTATTTGCTTTTGAAATCTTTGGATAGAGGAAAAAGACGAAACTAACCTTGGGAAAGCAAGAAAAAAGCAACAATTTCAACAACATATCGAGTCATATATCCATGCAAACACCTTACACAAACATCTGTCTTCACTCATTCCACGCGTCGCCATTCTTCTCTCTTTATATACACTCCACCGCTCCACTCTCTACAATCAATTCTCGTATATACACAAATCTAGCTAGCTCATCTCATTTAACCACCGTATCAATGGCGGATTACCAGCAGCACCACCCGACAGAGAAGGGTCAGGGTCGTCCTTCAACCTCACAAGTCTTGGCGGTGGTCACTCTTTTACCAATAGGCGGCGTTCTCCTTTGCCTTGCTGGTCTGACTCTGGCCGGCTCCCTTATCGGGCTTGCTCTCATGACACCACTGTTCGTGGTTTTCAGCCCGGTTTTGGTGCCGGCTGTGCTCACTATCTGCTTGGCGGTGGTTGGGTTCTTGACATCGGGAGCATTTGGGATAACTGCACTTTCTTCACTCTCTTGGCTCATCAACTACATGAGACGGATGAGTGGAAGTATGCCGGAGCAATTGGAGCAGGCGAAGCGGCGCGTTCACGAGACGGCAGGGCACCTTGGGCACAAGGCAAGGGAGACCGGCCAGAAGACTCAAGAAGTAATGAGACCTTAGAATATGTATGACATTGGCCACTAAGTGCATGTTAGGCTGTCCAATCCAGTCGGTTCTCTGTTTTGAGTAATAATTCCTGGTTGATAAGTTACTTTGGTGTAATTTTGTTGCATCGACTTCTTTAGAGAAATATGTGTGTTTGAAATCAAATTAAGATGGAGTTATTTAGCCCTTGTTCCCATTTTCTCATAACTCATTTTTCAGAAAACTCGTTTACAACTATCAATCATGCTACATGTACACTTCATTTGATATCAAGTTTGACATTGTGCCATCGTATTGTGGCATGAGTGGACAGTTTTAAAATAAAATATACTTTCTCACCTATTTGCATTTGAAAATACATGGAGTGTCAAACTATATTAGAATTAAAAAAGTTGGTCACATGTTAACATATTTACGGGAAGGAATAGTAGCACTAGTGCTCTACTAGTCCATAAAATCGCATCATGTCATGTCCTACCTTTTGAGATTTTTGTTCCACAATGCACAAAAGTATTACCCCTACATCTACCCAATAAGTGAACTTCTTCACCAATATTTATTGAAAGCTCTTTCGCATTCATTTGATTATTCAATAATTCTTTGAATTTACTCTACGTATTTCTTGTAGAGAAACATTTGACTTCTTACCATATATCAAGATTTTCAAGATAAAATTCTTGGAAATTGGCCCAAGTTCCTATGAACTTCAGAATACATACTCGATCACAGATAAATCTGATGAATCAGGCCATGGAACTTGAACCACAACCACATGATCATTGTAACTAAAATCAACACTTAATCCATTAATGGTGCAAGATTGAGGCTTTTCAGATGCAAAAATCCTCATTTCTCCACTGCCCTTAACACCAGCTCGAACTATACCTTCTTCATGATCACACCCAAGTGACTGAATCGCACCCCCGGAATTAAGCATGTTGACTAATCCAATAGGGGCATATTGCACCAATTTTTTTCTTGACAAAACTTTCACTGGAGAAACGACGAAAAGCTCGTAGTCGAACGGATCAAGTGCTATTTCGAGGTTTTCTGATGTCTTCAAGAGCCTTAGTTTTCCCTCCTTGTACTTGTAAACGGCAAATATTTCTGATCCTTTTAAGGAAATTGGACTTCTACCATGTCCCCATTCTATGTCTTTTGGAGTTACCAAACAAGTCAAATTGACTGAAAATTCACTTGCACTTTTGTTTCTCCTGGACACAGGGCACCACCCACCTCCTTGACAGTTGAATGCTCCAAGAACTCCTGTGAACTGGTGAAAATGCAACCCCAAATGACATAAAAAATTAAGCTATGTGAATTTTTGTACACTGGATTAATTGGACTAGATTAAAGAAGGGTTACCTTGTTGAGGTTCCAGATTTTGAGCACAGTTTTGCCATCCTGCAATGGATCTTCAAACAGGCAATCTCTTGTAGGGAGAGCATAATGTTGGCATCTCAATACGGATCCATCAGGCAAAACCAGGCTCTTAAGCAATTGAAAATTATGTTTTCCAACTGAGTCACTTATATAAATTGGCCCTCCAGAAACGGCTCTTGAGGCAGCATGAAATTCTGCACATGGATGAGTAGACTGAAACATGTCCCAATCTGGTTGAATGAAGTTTCCCATCCATAAGCTATTGTAGGAACAATGTACCATGTGATAACCTTGTAGCCAAAAGGTCCCATTTGGATCGCCCGAGGGATCAGTACACCAGAAATCGTCCCCTGCACGTGCCAAGATACCACATTTAGCGTTAGAGGTGTAAAGTTGATTGGACTTGAGATCGTATAAAAAGCACGAATAATTTTTTTGAACATACCAACACGCCCAAGAGCTATGGCTTCTGTTCCAAGAAACATGAAGTCATTGCAGTGTTCCATGCTTGCAATAACACCATTTCCATTGAAATGTTTCCTCACTGAAGCTGTTAAGGCTTTATAATAAGCTTTCGCTAACTCTACTCGGCCCCCAAAATCTTCTGATAGCATCTCCAGCAACTGCACGGTTGAGTTACTTTAGAAAAAAAAATGGAATTTAATATTTTTACCACAAATAATCTTCCTAAATTTAGGCCAAGAGTTTTGAGGGAAGTTACATGTATCACATCCACCTTGACACCATCAATTCCAACTGATTCCAAATGAGAGTGCAAACCTTCAAACATTTGGTACACCTTATCTGGTGGGACAAGCCCAACTCCATTTTTGACAATTTTGTCTACAGCAAGATCTTCCATTGTCATCTGCAAACCCTCAGACAAACTAGGACTAATAACCGTAGATTCAGGCATACATGGGACATTAGGCTTAATCCCTCCCCAATATCCACATAATGCATGCCATACATAAACACACTCTATGGTTTTGAATTCTTCCTTAAGGTCTCTAACAAAGGCACCCATGCCCTTATTGAAAGGCATTTTGGGACTGTTATAGTCTCTAAATTTGTGATTTTCTTGGAATTTTATTAGCCTACATGGCATTTGTTCACCAGCTGATGTTCTATTCATGCCTTCTTGATTGGGATCGTCGTCATCATGGGATATTGATTGCCATCCATCATCTATAAGGACTAAACCTGGAGGGCATCCCCCCTCTGCTAGGGCCTTGACCCCATCCCACACCCCCTGTGGGTGTACCTGTCAAATGATTCATTGTTATCAGCAGCATATTTCAATGAAGGATTTAATAGCATAATCATGGCCAAAAGCTTTTAGTGAGGAGTCATACTCATTGATTTTTAATCTTCTTTGACATGTGCACAATTTTTAAAAATAGGGAATGACGAGCCTTGAACTCAAATCTTTTGCCCTGCTTTAATATTGTGTTTTAACATCTAGTTTAAAAGTTTAATTTGCTAGAGAAAGAGTACAAATCTTACCTTAAGATAAAATGCATCCCATGTACACCAACCAAATTTGTCTACTATAGTTGGAGGGCACTTTTCCTCCAAAAGTTTAAATGTACCCAAGTGGACCCTAATGACTCGCATGGCATCTTTGATCAAATTGTATGGATCGAAACCTACATGCATATACATACAGCTCCTATATCTACAGCCGCAGACTTTTGTGGACCCACTTTCCACACAAATGTCCACGTCATCATCGTACACACCAGCTTGGAGTGAAGCCCTAAAGGGTCCTTCAATGAGTGGAAGTAGCAAAACATAAGGCCTCCCATAGTCAGATTTATCAAGAATCATCAACTGTGTTTCTTGTTCTACATCTTTCCCACTATTGCCAACCCAATGAGTTGTCCACCAAACTTTGAACCTAAATATGCTCATGAATCTTATGTTCTTGAGCTTCCCAATGGGCAGAACATGTCGGCTTCTCGACTCGTCCGAGTCGAAGCCGACAAAGCAGCCGACAGTGTTCGTCGTCAAGTCTTTGGAAATGGACGGAGATGGTATGGAAATAATGTTGGGAGGGACTTGAGTGAGAATTGGATGGCCATTGGCAAGAAATCGGGAACCTTCAAGAGTTATTGATGATGGTTTTACACAATCAATTGGCCCCAATGATTCTGGAGAAATTTTGCTCAAACTTGGAGCCATAATGAGGAAAAAAATAAAGTGGGTTGTGAATTTCTAGAGAGAAAAGGGAAATGTTTGGTTTGTGGTGTGTATCATCAAGGTAACCAAGAGAGGGTTTATATACAAGTTTCGGAGAGGAAATTGGAATCTGCAGTGATTGCATTGATTAAGCAATGCTTTTCACTTTAGAAGCTTTCACCTTCAAGCTGCGTGAAATGTGCATGAATGCCCGGTATAGTAAAATCTTAGTCGTTCAGATATAATATCAATAACTTGAGTTCTAGTTTAGGCTCCATTTTTTCAAAACTCATTTTTAAAATCATTCTCAATTATACATTATATGGAATCCACAAGTTTTATCAACTTTTTGAGAGTTAATTTAATTAATGTACACTGAACTTTGCTACATGTTACTACTTGCTCGTCAAAATTTAAAAAGTTACTCGTTGCTCACTGAATTTTGTTATAAATTATTACTTGTTTACCGAAATTTAAAAGGTTATTCGTTGCTCACCTATAGCAAAGTTCAATGAGCATATGGTAACATTTTAAATTTCGGTGATCGGTAATCTATACTAAAGTTTAATAACCATTGATTAAATTAAATCACTTTTCAAGTACACATTTCATTAACTTTTATTAAAATCTACTAAAAATTTGATTTTCAGCCAAAACCAAACAAGAGCCAAGTAAGATAGAGTGATACTTCTGATAACGTTGTTTCTAGAAGATGAAAGTTCAAGACTCGATTCCGCAAGAAACCTAAGAAAGTTAGCCCATGTTTGTTTCCAATTTAAATCTGATTTTAATCTCAAGTCAAAGTCAACAATTAATTTTAACGACTCATTTCATGGGATTCACATTTCATCAATTTTTATCAAAATTTACTAAAAATTTGATTTTAATCTACAACAAACAGGAGCTTAAAATTAATAATTTGATTTGTTTAAAAAACAAATGAGTAATTAAAGTTCAAGAATGGTGTTCATAATAGCCAACTTGTCAAGGATACAAACCAACATAACATAAAAAAATATGACAATGGGTGGGAATTTTGGTAACAGTCCCTTACACACTTTCCTCTATAAAAAATTAACAACTTATTAGATGATGGTTTAGGGTTCAGTTCATCTTCTTGTGGAATGAAGAATGTTTGATTATTCTTAAAAGTAAG